AGCATAGACAAGCTTTCCATTGAAACCAGTATCTAGATCACTAGCATTCAAATGTATGATGCTGGAACCGATGAGTTGATCTTCTTTTACCTCAATGCTTCTGGGAAGGCTATTTCCAAACTGAGGTGCATGCAGATTCACAGAGTAAGTGTCAAAAAACACATCGTCAGCTTCACCACGACCATGCAGCTTATTTGCCTGCAGAAGTTTCTCCGCCAGCATTTTGGCGACACCAGTCTCTTCACATTGTAAGTATACTGGTTTGCGGCTGGCAATGACAGTAATGTTAATATATAATGGGGCTGACAAATTTTCTCCATCTGTGGCTGTTATTCTCAAGCTATGAAAAGTTGCTTTTGCACCCAAGCCATCTCCTAATGATTGCTTCAAGGAAAGCACCCCAGAGTTTGGATTTAAACTAAATAAATCTAATTCATTTCCAGATTCAATTTGGTATTGTACCAGCTGCAGCTCATCAGCATCAATAGCAGACACAGTTGTTATTTGTTCTCCAACAACAAGTTCCCTGGGGATTGTTCCCTCACAATTTATTTTCTCAAACAGTGGAGTATTATCATTCAAATTATTTAAAGCTATAGTAACAGGGACTTCAACTTCTCGGCGATATGGTGTGCCCCAGTCAGAAGCTCGAATTCTCAATTTATAGATTCTTGGCATTAATTCATAATCCAAGTTTTCAGAGGTACTGATAACACCAGTAAAGTGGTTTATCACAAAAGGAACGGGGCTTATATTCGCAATACTGTATGTCACATAGCCATTCTCACCTTCATCAAGATCTTTTGCATTCACACTCGTGACACTTGTACCTATAGGAACATTCTCATCAAATGAAGCTTTATAAGAAGTCTGGGTAAATTCAGGGGAATGAGTATTCATATCTATAACTTTAATCAATACTGTTGCAGAGGCTTTTCTGTCACTTGTCATAATGTCAAATTCAATATGGGATGCACGCTGTGCATTTATGGGATCTAAAGTACTAACAAGGCCAGTATAAGGATTCAGGTGGAATCTGATTTTGCTTGGTGCATTTCTAAACACGTATCTCAAATGGGAATAAGTAGGCAGAGTTTTTACCATAACTACAGGAGTGTTTGGTGGGGCAAATTCACTTATTTCTGCCCTGTAAACAGCTCTTTCAAACTGGACTGGTCCCGATCTAAATTTGGGGGATGCCACATGAATTACTTTGACAGGAGAAAATTTTGGAGGATTCCCTTTATCTTTAGCTTGCAGAGTTAGATTATAGCCAAACAGTTGGCTCTCCCAATCGATACTGCCAACAGCTTTTATTTTATATTCTTTTCCTCCTGGAAAAGTCCTCACAGTTTTAAACTGCTGGAGTGGGTCACCCGCTACAATGCTCAAAGATGCCACCTCTCCATTTGAACCGTGATCCCTGTCCTCAACTGTTACGATTGCATATGATGGATCCTTGTCAAGCTCTGAAGGAGCCAACGTAAGGGCCGTGATAACCGGAGCATACTCATTAGCCTGTTCTATATGAACAGTCAACCTTGCCATGCTGCTGATGCCACTACTGCCATACAATTTCATCCCACGATCCACAGCAAGGATTTCCATTTCATAAACGTTTGTCTCTGAATAGTCAAGTCTGCCCGTCAGGACTATTATGCCGCTGGTTGGATGTATAGCAAACATATCTGTCCTCTCTTTAAAACTGTAATAAAACTCTCCATTGGTTCCAATATCTGCATCCGTTGCACTAACTCTGGCAATGCTCGTCCTTATTGCTGTATTCTCAGGCAATGAAACACTGTAAGAAGTTGGAGAAAACAAAGGCCGTAAGTCATTTGTATCCAACACTTGCACTCGGACTCTCGTACGAGCTTCCATATTTGTGCTCTTCTCTATTGCTTTCACAGTTAACACGTAATGGTCTTTGACTTCCCTGTTAAGTATAGCTGTGTTCCCTCCCTTGGTCCGTATTCGTAAAAAGCAAAAGTCTCCCAAGATATACTCTTCCGCTTTGAACAAGTTCTCGTTATCCCCAGAAATTATTTTGTATTTTATATCCCACAGCAAGTTCGTGATATAAATGCCCATTTTCACTGGATGTCCAACGTAAGTCTTGGCTGCAGAGTTTTCATATACTGTGGCATTGTAATGAGTTTGGGTAAACTGCATTGGCGATGTGTGATGCAGTCTTGGATTCCCTTCACAGTTTCCAAAATGCTGCACAAGCAGCAAGAGGGGCAGCAGCAACATGGTCAAATGGCTCTCCATGGAGGCAAGTTCCAAAAACCTGGAAAAAAAACAAAAAAGGAATATCAATCAGGGTTTTCCAAACTATTATGGAAAGTTTGCTACTCACTCCCCATAGACTTGCTGAAAAGGAACCACCATTGCAAGGCTCGCTTGATGTAAGGAACTCTGCCCAAGAAAGAATGCTATCAGTCACAATGAATGTACTCTCTACAAATCAATAAACCAAAATCTGAAATGGAAAGCCGAGCTTACAATTCAAGGGATTTCCCTGAAAACAATACCTAGTGCTACTTCCCTAGGCTAAATAACAGTTGTCTCCTAATACAGTGGTACTTCAGGTTACATACGCTTCAGGTTACAGACTCCACTAACCCAGAAATAGTACCTCGGGTTAAGAACTTTGCTTCAGGATGAGAACAGAAACAGTGCTCCGGTGGCACGGCAGCAGCAGGAGGCCCCATTAGCTAAAGTGGTGCTTCAGGTTAAGAACAGTTTCAGGTTAAGAACGGACCTCCGGAACGAATTAAGTACTTAACCCGAGGTACCACTGTAGTTGCAATGATCTTCCTCTGTATTCTTGCCAACCCAAGAAAGGAGTGGTTAAGTTCAGTCATATAGAGCCTATTGCCTCTCTTGGGCCTTTGCAACCAGAAGAGGCATCACAGCACTCCTTTGATCTGGCAGAATGATGCAGCACTTTTTCTGAGATAAGTGAAAGAAACGCCCAACTATCTTACCTGCCCTTCTCTGTCTCACAGGAAGAGGGAAGGGAGACAACTGCAGTAATGCCACCCCAATGAATAATAGCTGTAGTGCCTTTACACCTGTACTTTCTGTCTTTCTAATGGCTATGATTCTAATTGAAAAACCAAAGGCAGGTCTTTCAAGCTCTGAGCTACTATTGCTGGAAAGCAAAAATATACTACAGAAGAAATTAAGTCTTCTTTTTACCTACTTTATCTTTACCAAAGTCTACAAACCCACATGAGTTTTTAAAATATTAAGCAGATTATAACATGCTTTAAAATAAAGTGATTTGCCCAAGTATTTTTTTTAGAAAAATGGGAAGAAACTGAATCAATGTTCCAGTTCTGCTCTTGAACAATTCAGAAAAGAGAGATTCCAGAAGCTGCTCATCATACTAGCTTCCCAACATGCTTAATTGCACTTAATGTTATGTATCCAACAACAGAAACTCTAGGAAGTGATAGGATTAACCCTAATACATGGGATTGCACGCAACAGACTTCTGCTTGTGCAACAAATCTTCCACCTCCTCTTCTCTGCAGGCCCCAGAGCACCCTCAAAGTTTGCTCCAGAGGGTTGGGGGACCCTCTGCAACAGATTGTTGGGGTGCACAGGAAGAGAAGAGGATGGGGCAGTCCCACTGCACAAGCAGAAGGTGATTCAGACAGCATTGGATACAACCCATGATATTGCAGTAGTTCACTAAAATCCTGAGTGCAATTATCATGGAAAAACTCAACAAGAAGAAATAAACCATTCCTCTATGATAAATAACCATTTCAACTTTTTAGAAAATTGCATGTGTCAAACTGTTTATTCCAACCATCACTTATTCAACAAAGCACATGACTACCACTTGCAAACTGCTCAATTCTAAACCTGAAAGCATAGGCGGGTTTAGATTATTGAAGCTCTACTCAAGATTGCACATACACTTAACTGTAGAAAGAAGACCATAATAATCCTTTTGCTGGCTGCATTACCATAATGTGCAGGTTATTTTGTATTTTATCAGAACATGAGGCAAAAGCAAAATCCTATTAAAGTTTACTTGGAAGAAAGTCCCACTGTATTCAGTGGGGATTACTCTCTAGAAAGTGTGTTTAAGATTGTAGCCTACAATAATTACTTTTGAGTTCTTCCTCTCTGAATAACTCTGGTATTTATCCTTCAAAAAGAGTATGAGGGTCAAGCTACTGCAGAAACTGCCAACAAAAAAGAAAAGGAAACAAAGATCAAGGCCACCACTCGGGCAAAGTTGAGCACTTTGAAGTCCCACTGATGTCCCAGTGGAATTTGGTTGGCCACAGTTGGAGTATGCTTGTCAAGAGAGGATATTAGACTGATCCAGCAGGGTTTATTTCCTTAATAATGGGGGGGGGGAATAGTTTGCAAGGAGTAAATGCCAATGATCTGAATAAATAAGCTTATTAATTCATTGTATTTTACTGGACACTGCAAGCCTGAACTGTATTTTATGCTGTTCTGTTTTGGGTGTTGGCATTGTATGGCTTTTTTTTTTTTTTGTATACCACTTTGAATTTTTTGGAGGGTAAGCAGTCTACAAATATTTTAATAAATAAATAGAATTGCACTGATAAGCCTGGGCTTAGTTTTCCTGCTGAAACTGATGGGAATTAAATGTGGAACTGCAATGGGAGTTACACCCAAGGTATTTCCAGGGCTGGGGGGCTGGGAGATGGTATGGAGTATACACTCTGCCATTACAAGCATAACACACAGAGAGAACTTAGGCACACCTTCTGCTAAGGATAGGAAAGTAAATCAGCCTTTGCTCTCCCCCTCCAGACAATTCTGGGATTCCTAAGAAGAAAAATCACAACCTCAGTCCATAGTTAACTATTCTCTCCTTTCCACTGTCTGCTAATAAGGAAAGAGATAATTACTCTTCATGTTCTCCCATTTTTCATCAGCTCAGCCAGGTAATAAATGGGTTCTGGGGACAATGAGCGGAGGGAAAGAGTACTGCTTTAACAAAAGCCACAGTTGGCTCAATTGGTTAGAGTGTGGTGCTGGTAATGGCAAGGTCGCAGGTTCAATCCTCATAGGGCCACCTGCATATTCCTGCATTGCAGGTGGTTTGACCTCAAGAGTCCCTTCCAACTCTATGAAAAACTTGTGAAAATAGAAGGGGGACTCCTTCTCCCTGGTGTTGGAGCAGCTGTAACTTGGGCTGTCCCGAAATCAAAGACAAAGACCCTATAATCCATAGGAGCGAACTCCTAGGGACCAAGGTCCCTCTTCCCCCCCCCCCCCAAAAAAAAATATCTGAGAGCTCCTGAAAGTTAATGGGCATTGCCATTCAAACTCGTGGGATCGATTATGTGGGGCGAGGCTTACATGTGTCCCCCCGCCAAAAAAAATATTTTATTGAAGTTGGCACTTTTGCTGGAATCCTCCTGTTTTTGCTGGATTGTGCTCTGTCCTCCCAACATTAAGGGCTACACAAAATCCAAGATAGCACAACAAGAAGATACTATTGTCACCTATCCTGGGGAGTTTAGAAGACAGCAGATTTGGCAAGCCAACCCCCCCCCGCCCCCCTTGGTATTGCCCTGACCGGCTCACGGCAGCAGCAGCAGCACAATAGCTCCGCGCTGCCCCTCGCGCCCCACTTGCTAGTCACCGCACGTCGAGTCCACCCCCCTCCCCAGCCATCCCACTTCCGCTGTGGGGGGGACGATGACTCTCTAGGGGCAACAAGGGGGAGGGGAAGAAGAAGCCAAGGCACCAAGCGCCGCCACCTCACAACGCCGCCCGTCGCTACCTGCCTCAAGTCCGGCTCCAACTCTTCCAGTGCGCCCTGTTTCCCAGGTTTCTCCTCCGCGGCGCCTCAGGCGGGGAAGAAGGCGCCCTGCTGGCTCTCCAACAACTTTCTTCCCACGAAGTTTCTCCCCCCGGGCAAGGGCGAGCGGGCGCCCTGTTCCTCGCCGCTCAGCGCTCCCTCGCCCGAGGGGGAATACGCTTCCCCACCCGAGGGACCGGCAGCTCCCCGTCCGGCATGGCCAGCAGCCGGGCAGCGTCTCCTCGCCAGCTCGCGCTTTCTTTCTTTCTTTCCCCTCCGTCCCTCGCCGGTCTCCTTTCTCCGGAGCGGCTCTCTCTCTCTCTCGCCCCCGGATTCCTCCGCCAAAAGCAGGGGCAGCCGCCACAAACCGCCTCCGGAACTAATTTCTCTGGCATGAAAACCAAAACCACACTTTTCAGCGGCTCCGCGCCTCGCCACCATCTGGCTCCGGAGTGATTATAACCCTGCAGATCAAACGCCACCACTATCTTTCTTTCTTTCTTTCCCACTCCCCTTTTCTAAGGAAAGGAGCAAATCAAGCTGGGAGAGAGCCGAGAGCAAACGTAGAAAGGAGCCCGGAAGGCTTCCTCGGGAGTAAATCTCACTTGAAACGTATTCGCACCGAGGAACAGCTTCGGATCGGGCCACGTTGGCTCCGAAGCGAGTCCCTGTGCAATTCAGAAGAAATCGCTTTGAAGCAAGGGCTGGGAAAGACGTTTACATGGGAGTAGGACCCATTGAACGTGCACAGGATCGAGCTTTCCAAGCAACACATCCCACCCATCCCCAAAAAAAATCTCAGTGGGGCTTACTCGTGAGTAAGGACGTTTGGTCTCTCGGTCGTGTTAATTAACACTCTCTAGTTAATCCTCTCCTCGGTGGCTCAAAGATCTGCTTTTAATTCATGAGGTCGATGATGTCATAAATCAAGAAAGCGAGAACAAGGGATCTTTCATGCTTTCTTTCTTTTTAATTAAAAGAAAAAGCAACACTCCGTTCTCAAAGTTTGTTGTTTCCAACCGCCCGGGTTTCCGCAGAGAATTATTGCAATCTGCTCTTGAATACGTCTCATCGCTTTCCCAAGCCTATAATTACTCGAGAGTTCGCCTCATTGTGCCGCAAGCCCTAAAAAGGAAGCCTCCGCAAACCAAATCTTACCTCCTCCAGGGCTTTTAACACTCCACCGCCCAAACCTCCCAGAGACTCCGCTTTGGAGAGCGTAATAAATAATCGCCAGCACTTCCGTGCACAGCTGGGCTAAGCTAACCCCACATTCTGCAAAATTCCAGCCTTGCAAAGCGCGCCCCATGCTACGCCCTCCAGCGCAATTCCCAGCATCCCCCTTATTACCCAGCCAGAAATTAAAGACGGGAAGGACAAAAATACCATCTTGGGAGGCCCGGACAGCTTTGAATGCACTTACGTATCTTGAATTAAAGGAGTTCCTTCTAACTTAAATTTTTTTTAAAAAAAAATCCTCCAGAGAGCAGTATGGACATCTGCAAAGAAAGTTTTTAAAAACTTTGGTGGCCAAAAAAGTAGTTATTGTTCATAGAATAACGATTATCAGTTTGCCACCCAATCCTATGATACACTGTATCAGATACAGTATCACCTATATACATGCCCAGGCAAGTAACTCCTACTTGGTTCAATGGGATTTATTCCCAGGTAAATTGGTATACGACTGCAACCAAGTTCCACTCATTCAACCAACGGGATCCGGCCAGACGCATGCACATTATTAAACAGGTTTACTCATGAGCAAGTCCCACTCCCTAAGCATTTCGGATTGCAGACGTTTATGATGCAACGCAAACGACAGCCGGTCCCTGATCGGAAAAGCAACTTCAACGGACTTCACTTCCAGAGCCACACCGTACTGTTAACTCCTGTGAAAACTATACAGAGCTTTATGCGCGCCTAGCTCTACATAGCACAAGATGGGTCTGTTTGTTAGCTGGCAAGGGCGGGTAGAAATTGGGCTTCAGCGCTAGTAAGAATTTCCATTCATCTTCTCCACCCGCTCCTAATTCCACTTTGAATCTCACAAAAAAAAGGGAGGGCAGTTTCGAGATTTTAGCTACTTACACGTAGGAGTATGGATTTCCAAGGAGAGACCTAGATGCATGGCTGCCTAGTTTCGGAGAGACCGGACTCCAGATGGGGCTCTCCAATAGGAACAGAGACAGCTGCCCCCCCTCCCCTGGGGGAGGGGAAAACTCAGGGAAAATGGGAGGGCTTCGGATTCTATTTCAGAGTTTCAATATTTAAAAAAGTACTGTACGCCAATACTAGCAAGACAACTGTTAACATTTCATGGCACGTCTCGAAAGCACTCTGTAAAGGCGAGGAGGATTAAATAAATAAAACTCCACCAAGCAGCAGATCGCTCGCTCTGTTGAAAGGATTGTATACATGCATGTGAAAATCGGCAAACCTGCACACCCTGGAAGTGGGAATACCCGGAACCGACTAATATCTGTCGGCACAGTAAATTTCTATAGGAGGTGGAGAAGGAGCGCACTGCCGCCGTCTACCAACAGGAGCTGGCGAACTGCTATCAAACGGAGCAATCGCAGGCCTCCCATTCCCCAATCGCTCCGGAATAGCCTCTAGCTAACCCAGCCCTCTCTGCAGGTCTGCTTAGAAGCAAACTCTACTGTGTTCAATGGGGCTTCCTCCCAGGTAAATGTGTATAATATACCCTCATTTGACACATCCAGCGAGCCTCACTTTCGAGCAGACATGCACAAGCCCACTTTGTAAATCGCTTACTCTGGAGAAAATGATCTTGTTCTTTCCTGCCAGGGCCCAGCCCCTCACCTAACCAAACTGGAAAACCATCCATCACCTAGTTGCAAAGTAGAAGCGAATGGGATTAAGGTGATTTACAGCACAGTCCTAATCATTCCTACGCAGATTCGAATCCTACTGAATGCAGTGAAGCTTTCTACCAGGTGAGCGGTTTCTGAAGTGCAAGCTTAGTCCCCGTTCTCTTCTGTGGCGCATCGGTGCCGATCAAGGCGCTGTTTACTCGAAGGTAAATCCCACTGGACTCAATAGGCTTACTCCCGAGTAGACACGGCTTAGGCCGGTTTCCCTGAAGCGCTGAGAACCGAACCGGTCCAATAAAAGATAAGAGCAGTCAGGTTTCTAAAGTGGGGTGTGAGGGTCGCAGTGCATGATGACACGTGAAACCGCCACGAAGCTTTCGGAATGAACCTTTCGGGGAAACGGGCTTGTCCAAGTGTGGATCGGAAGAGCAATACAGCGCTCCTAAACTCCTTCCTCCATCGAAGTTTGTTCCGAACCGAGTCAGAACAGGAAAAGAAGGAATGGGTGAGACGAGGGGCAAAACCTGAAAGAAGGAACCAACTCCTATGGGCTTGGGGTCCTTTCTTCGCCCCCCTAAAATATTTGAGGGCACCAGGTCCCCCCAAAGTTGATGGGTATTACCATTCAAATGGCGTGCGTGATCGATTATGTGGGGCGGGGCTTACCGGCTGCCCCCCCAATATTTAAGTTGGGTTGGCACTCTCGGTTCCTGGCGCCAACTTGAATAAAATATTGGAGGAACTGGTAAGCCCCTCCTCACGTAACCGATCGCATGATGGCACACACCCACAGTATTTGAATGGCAATGCCCATCAACTTTTGGGGGGCGGCCCCCTCATATTTTATGGGCGGGCTAGGGACCTCGGCCCCATGGGTCATAGTGATCAGACACTTGCCACCGCCACCCCAGCCCCCCAGCTCTCCGCCACGCTCCTCTTCCTCCCACGAGAAACTTAATTGTTTGGAAGGAAACTACATTTATTTTTGCCACGGAAAGGCAGCAAAAAAGTGGGGAGGGGGAGAACAAGAGATAAGGCAGATTACCCAAACCCAGCCTTCATTTCGCACTAGTCTCTCAATTTTTCTTGATTCTCTCTCTCTCCCCGCCCCCCTTCCCGGTTGCATTAAAAATTGTCCCCTCGAGGCAAGTGCTAAATATGTGGCCGACGATCAAGGCGCTATAAAAACGCTCGACGTATAAATCGCATCCCCGCCCTCCCCCCTGCATGTGGAGTGAAACGAGAAACAATGGGTCGCCCTCGAGGCTCACCTTACGCGGAGAAACCAGCAGTACGAGGGCGGGCGGAGGAGGGGACACACACACACAAACCCAAAGTAGCGAGGACAATGCACATAGAGAGCCCTCCTCGTGTTCCCTCGTGTCTCCTCCGGACAATGCTGAACTTGGCTGAGCTTGTGACGGGTCCCA